CAGAGATCTCTCAGGTTGTATTGCATGTGTGGAAAAACTTGACATCTCTGCTTTCTACAAGGAAGACTGGTTAGAGCTGCACACATTCAAGGAGGGCCTCTGTTTAACAGAATTGGCCAAATCAGATTAAAAACCCAATATCTATGATGAAGGCTGCAAGCTGTCTTCTCGGAGAAGTTCCACTGATGTGAACCAGAAGTTCCTTGCATGTGGTCAGGCCCTAAATTTGATACTGGAATTTAAAAACAAATTAAGATTCCCATGTAATATTGACTTCTTTTTTTTTTTTTCCAGAGTAAAAGATTTTACAGCATGGAATGCTATATGCAGTGGTTACATGAGTCCAAGTAATTGTACCAATTATATAATTTGATATAATTGCACTAATTACATAAACACATAATAATGAAATATAAGTTATTCCAAGAGCTAAACTGGAAGAACATTAAAGAACCTAAATCTGCTCCCACTTATTCTAGTACAAATCAGAAACAATTCCCCTGAAATCAATGAAGTTACCCAAATAAAATTGGCCCCTACCATTACAAGCAGCCAGGTAAATCCAGCTCTTGGTTCAAGGGTATTGACTGGGTAGCAAATGAAAGTTACTGCAGTATTTTGCATCAACAGAGATTGTTAATTCCTGGACAAATTCCAGCGTATTCGGGGAGAGTGTCCCTGTGTTCATGACCAGGTTACGTTTCTTCTCCCCTTATTCTGATCTGTTGTGCAGCATCTGTGGGTTTTGCTAGATCTTTTGGCTGCTGATCCTGAAGAGAAAAAAAAAAAAAAGACTTTTTTTTTTAAATACTGAGAATAAGCTGGACCAAATCAGGCTTTCAAGATTCATGCATGTCTTTAGTTAAACTTGTGTTAACCTGAATTGCACCTGCAGACTTTAGGGGAGCTACTGCAGACTAATGCCAGTATTAACAGCAACAGACTCTCCTCTTCGACAGAAATCTTTATTTCTGATCCATTTTGCAAAATGTTCTTCAACCCTTCACAGTAGAAACCACTACAAAGAAAAGTTTTTCTTAACAAGGATTCATTCAGTGAGAGGTTTCCCTTCTCTCCCATGGCAGGGGGAGTGCAGCAATTAATTTCAGCTGCTGACTTCACCTCTCACGAGTAACAAAGCAAAGAAGGTGAGAGCTGGCAATATTGGAGCAGGTGTCTATTATGTGTGGAAATACGTGATGTATGCAGAGTTAATCCACCAAGTGCTCTGTTGCACCACATTGTGACAGTCACCCCGTTCACACCATCCTCATTAACGCCACTGGGAGGTCCGGGGACTGGAGTTTTGCCTGCATCAGAATATTTTAAAGGACAAAGATTTTCCAGCTGTGGAGATTGAGTCTGCCATGTGACAGAAGACAATGATTTAGCATTTACAGGACCAAATTCAAAGCCTTCCAGAGACAAGAGAAAGGCATCTAGTCACCTTGGGGCAGGGGGGGTGACCCAGCTGGTTTTTTTAGGTACAGTACCTAACATGGCATAAGGCAATGAAACTGAATAAGAATGGGAATGACAGATGGGAAAATAAACCCCACCATTTTCAAAAAGTAGCCATCAAGCTTGGAATCACATTTTTCATTTTGCCCAATTTCAAAAACGCAGGAGGTGGAAGCTGCAAGAAGCGGAATTCCTGCAGCCCCTTACAAAGAGCTGGCAAGCGCAGTAGCCTTGTCACATCTCTGAAAAACCAAGTCCAAACTGTCTTAGATTGGTTTCACAGAATTAAAGACCTTTTAAATTCTATTTCATTTTAGCCTTAGAAAACTGTGTGACAGGTTGCTGTCAGCACCAGGACACAGGAATACCTCACTGCAGCACGCCCTGAGCAGTGAGTGACTGCACACTGCAGAAAACTCAAAGCGTGTTCTGTTCAGATTGATTTCCAGAGACTGTTTCACACAAAACAAAAAGACCTGGGAACCTGGACTATGATCCAGCTCTTCCCACTCCTGTACGATGCCCCTGACACCAGGCTGATTCGTGCTCTTCTTCATGTTTCTATTTCTGCCCCATGAATGTCAGGGCTGTAACCGCAAATGGGGGAGCAGGGAAGGCAGGGGAAGAAACCTGTGAAAACTTTTTACTGAGAAAAGGGGTGTTCTTTGCCAGCCTCTGTGGAAGAGTTCAGGATCCCCAGCTTGCTTGTGGGTTTCTGGTGGGTTGCGGAGCACAGCCCGCTCCCGTCCCTCACTCCTGGCCAGCCCAAGCTCATGGCATCTTGCCTGCCAGCAGCCTCCTGCTCCCTGGGGCTGCAGGTCCGAACTCTGCTGCGAGACACCCTGCTCTCCTCCTGGGAGAGCACAGGAGCCCCAGTGTCCAATGCAGGGCTTGGCTTTCACCCCAGAAATGAAACATTTCCAATTAAAAATGAAACCTAATCGGACCCAGCCTCCAGGGCCTTGCATTTCGATGGGCAAGATTTCTTAATGTACCCTATTTTTAAAAGCGCAGACTGGTCTCATTCATAATGATGGCATCATATTAGGTCAAATGTGCTGTCAGACTGGAGGCACATGTATTTGCCACTGATTTCAAGGGGAATTTATTGAACTCTTCAGTAGCATGACTGACCCAGCAACAAAGACAAGGGAGAAGCTGCTAAGAGATGGAGCAGGAACAGTGAGTGGTGGCTTTGACAATAAATGTGCAGTTTGAGGTGGTGAGAAAGCTATGAAATATTCAAAAAATTTGGTCCAGGGGACAAAGTTCTGCACAGCAGGTTGTTGACACAGCCACGGCAAATTGCTCCTAGAGGTCTCCCGAAACAAAGCCATTTAACCCCAGCGTCTGGCTTTGAGGAGGGGTGGGCAGAGCTACGCTTGCATGTGAATTGTAAGTAGAACCCATCATTAGTTGCATGAACTTGCTTCTTCAACACTTTCCAGGTCTTGGGGTCAGATCTAACGTTTGCTAAGTCAACAGAGGTCCTTCTGTCAGCTTCAGCTGGCATTTGCTCAGGTCTCCAGGAAGAAGAATTTATCTGTGAAGATCAATGAAATCAATATCTGGATATGTGCACAGCTGACAAGAATTTCTATGAGTATTTGTCAACATTTTGGGGGGTTAGTAAAGCAGACGTATTTTACTTAAAACACAACAAAACCTCCTTGGTGCCAGCTGATTTTAAAAAAAAAAAAAAGTTTGTCAAACTTAGTATTGACCTCTTTTTCCTGGAAGTGCTCTCCGCGTTATTTTTTTACAACTTGCAACCGATCAGGGAGTGACCTAGACAAGAAGGTACATTCTTACACAGCAGGTGAACCAGGAACTTGCTGTAAATGACCTGTAGGTATGCGGAACAGCCCCGTTCCTGTGCCCAGAGACCCTGTACTGATGCAGAGAGAAAGAATCAGATGCCTTCATGTATAGACAGCAATAAAACTACAGTGTAACATTTTTAGGATTGCAGCTGAGCTCTCAGACAAGGCTTTCTGCAATGACTAATATGACTACGGTCTAACGCGACAGTTCACTGTCTGCAGTCGCATTCAGTCCCGAAAGCAGGCAAGTTTCTCCAGATGTTAAACGCAAAAAAAAAAAAAAGAAAAAAAAAAAAGAGCACATCCAGTTTTCAATCTTTTTTATTTATTTAAACTGTACACAAATGTAAAATACTTCAACAGCAAATCTAAGTGAAAATTGTTTGGTTTAAATTATTATGGAACAGAACCTAAAAGGAACTTTATTAAATAAACATAAAAATTGGATTTAAAGAATGCACATATTGTAATGTATTCTACAATAGTCATTTTTTTTCACTCTACGTTCCATGTGCGTATGGTATAGAAAAGACACTGAATAGAACAAACAGAATCCATTTTGTACCCTGAAACAATTGGTAGGCCTCGTGAGGGATTGCTCAGTATGACTACATGATATATGATGGCTTTGCCATCTCATAAAAATTATAACTAATATGTTGGCCTCTTTGGTTCCAAAATTTATGTATAATACATTTAACTGTATTCATTTTTTGCTGCTATAAAAATAACATTTTTTTTCAAATGGCAGTTTTTTGACTAATCATGCAACTAAATCAGTGCAAACATTAAAAGCAATCATTCGCTTTAAAAAAGAAGCAAAAGATTTAATTTCAAGTATAAAAAAATATAAAAAAGTCATATCATAAGTCCAGTTTTGTCTAGTATGGGTCAACACTTTAAATTGCATAGCTCATGCGGCACCTGTTTACCTAGATAGTGAGCAAAGATAAGTGCACTATCAAGTACCACTTTTCAAGGCATTGAAATTTGCAAGTGCTATTATACGTGCATTCAAGCAGTTTGCAAGTGCTATGCTGTATCATTGTTTTCTGATCTTTATGGCCATCCGTGACACCTCCTGGTAAGGAAATTGAAAGCACTCTCCTCTTCCCTCCTTTCCAAGACTTGTTAAAATGTTCCTCGCCTGTTCTTAAATGCACTGCATTTTTCAGGATGTCTCCACTCTGTTACTGTCACTCCTCTTCAGGGTTCATTGGTTTAGCCATGGTGGCGGTTGCTTGTTTGCTCGTCCCCCACGTGACGTGTCCTTTGCCGAGTCCCCCATTGAAGAACACAGGTTGCAACTTTGACTTTTCGTTCTCTGAACAGTGAGAGATGCCAACAGTCAGCACAGTCCAGATAGGGTATTGGATCCTCTTTCCTAAGACACGGCAGGTGTCGCCATCCACGGGTTGCCAGTGGGCAGTTAAAGCATCAGATCACGCCAGCCTAGCTTGTGACTTCTCAACGCTCAAATGTTGGAAATGCAGCAGTTGCTTACATGTCTGCTCCCTTTTTTCTCTCTCTCTCTCTCTCCGATGGCACCACGCGGTTCCTTACTGGAAGTGCTGTAGGGAGATGTGGGTATCTGTGATGTCTGCATTTAGATAATTTAAATTAAAAGGAAGTAAGGAAGTGATCACCTCCCAAGGCAGATGTCCTGGAGCTTCCCATTAGACCTAAGAGGTCAACGGTTTTTCTTTTTTTTTTTTTTCTAAATTTGGTCATTTTGACACCTGCGTGCAAGAATACGTCGTGTTCTCGCAGTCTGTGCTTTTGCCTGAGCAAAGGGAGCTCATTTCGGTCTGGCTTTACTGGCAGGCGGGGAAACAGCTGCCCAGCCGCTCACTCGTACTGGCAGGCATTTAGGTCCGTCGTCACTGGTCACTGACTTTCTGTGCTCATGTCCCTTTTCCGAGCTGCCTCGTGTGCGTGTGTGTGTCTGTGTGTGTGTGTATGAGCGCGTGTTTGTGTGTGTGCCCGCGTTTAGTGTATGTGTGTGTGCACGTGTGTGTGTGTCTTTAAGATATTTCATAGCATTAACTTATAAGTGGTAGAATATATAAGTGTCCAAGATCCACAAACTGCCACTGTCCTGACACCAAAGTGAAATGATTTTTTTTTCTTTTTTTTTTTTTGTCAAACTTTTCCACAGTGACTTTCCAACACTGATGCCTGGATACACAGTGAAACTTCCTCCAACATCATCTCGTACGGGAATGTTTCTTTCTCTCTCTCTCTCCCCCTCTCTCTCTCTCCCCCCCCAAAAACACACCTTGAATCAAGCACAACCACATTCTTCCACAATCATATTGGGAACGTCCCTTTTCACAATGTTGTATTCATCATCAAAGTACAGCATTGACATTGTGCTAAGTTTGGTTGGAATGCAACAGGAGTTCACGGTGCCCGGGTTCAGCCCCCGCATTCGGTACTGATTCACGACGGCGGTGTGAAAGGAGGAAGCCGACCCCGGGACGCCGGCCAAGTAGGCCGGGCAGCTCCCTTCACAGTAATTCCCATAGTAACCTGATGGTGCTATGATCCAGTCATTCCACCCAATGAGTCTAAAGTCAATGTAAAACTGTTGCCTGCAACATAGATTGGTCCTGCCATCGCACTCCAGGCCTCTTTTCCGGATCCTGTGTTTGTTATCGGCGAGGCGGGCCTGCACCACTAAAAAAGGCCGGTGGGATTCCTCCCCGGGGTCCACATAAATTGGCAGCACTGAATACTCTTCACAGCCCTCGCATTGAACATCCAAGTTCAGTCTCCTTTCTCCTCTCTCAAACAGAGCCTGGATTGCCTCTGTCATGGGAAAAGTGTGCCAACCACTTCTTTTGAGATCAACTTTCTTTTCAACCACATTCCACTTGTTGCTAGTGTCCGGGTCTTGGAAATAGACTTTGACTCTTACTTTTCGCCTGCTGCCTTTCTCTAAGACATATGGAAGCAGCTTCAAGTAAAGCCACAGGCTGGCTTGAACGACAAACAAGTTCTGGTTCCCTTCATTCGAGATGAAGAAATAGAGGCGGACTCTAGATGAGGCCAGATCGTCTGCAAGATAAGGAGAGATCAGCAAGATTAAGTCAAAAAGGAAATGTTAGCTTGTGTGCCCTTCTGGATTCGGGGACAACGCTCCAGCACAGCAGATCGAGGGAGCAGCACCGGGGCTGTGCCGGCCAGAAGGCACGTACTGAATCAGATATCCCCAATTTGCAATCAAAATGAATTGGAAAGGGACTTCCCACAGCAACGTTCACCACCGGGCTGTAGTCGGATGTGCCAGATCCAGAGAAAACAGTAAGAACTCTGCAGAATATGTTTTTTTTCCAGCCAGCCAGCTTTAAAGACGCTAGAACAGCACCTTGAAAAGACCGGCACTCGGACTCTGCTACCTCGTTGGTTTAAGAACAGTTGTAACGTACAGCTACCTGCCAGTTCTCAGGGGGAGAGCCCGTTCAACGACCTCAGAAACGCCAGTGACAAATCATGGATTTTGTTTCGATTTTCGCATATTCTCACTGTGGTTTAACAGAGAGGATTCACGAGACAGAGAGGAAAATATTGCAGTAATGTGCCTGCTTGCCCAACAGATCAAGCTAACCCCCACTTAGTCTGGTAGAATATCTGCTATTATGAATCGTTTCGTTCTCTGCCTTTTCCCCCCTGAAACGATAAACTCCCGCACAAGGCGAGGCAATGAAGCGGTTGCTCTCGCTGTAACGCCGTTACTGACTGTTCTCAATACGCTTTTCAATAACACCAGGATTAAAGAAGCAAAATTGTCACAGAAATCCAAATGTCACCAAATGTCTGACATAACCTCTTATTTGTAAACAAAAGAGCCTGCTGCATTAAATGTTTCAGAAACACCAGTGGTCCTCCTGCAATTTTGCACTAGAAGTCCTAACTAAATTTGGCGTAAGTGATAAATGTGCAAGCTGGCCTTTATGGCAGAGACTGTAATTCTGGTCCTTGAATCAAAACGTCCCAATCGCTATTTAAAATTATCGCTGGAAAGGCATTTTCTCATCTGCCCTTATCTGTTTTGCTTCTTTCTGTACAGAGTCAAACGCAGATTTTTCTTCCTTTTCTTTTCCTAAGAATCTTTATTATTTTTGTCAATCTCTGAATGGGATTTTTTGCGCAGTCGGTGTCTTCATTTGTTACCCTAGATGCCTTTCAAATGTGCCTCCAGGGCCCATTCGGTACCTTGTAATATTTCAGTTACAAACATTTTCACTGTGTTTGTCTATGTTTTACATAAAGTTGATTTTGGAAGTGTTACAAAAGCCAGCAATTGATTCAATACCAAATGGAAGTACAAGCCCACCCCAGACCTCCCAACAGCCATGTACTAAAAAATTACAAACCCCAAAATGTACACTAAGAAAGCCTTTTGCACACTAGTAAATGCACAACTTCTTTATAAACTGTGGTGACAGTGACAGAAAAAGAAGCATACGGTCTTGCTGCACTGATCCACATCAGTTGTGTTGTGTGAGATTGTGTGTGCCCATAAATTTTGTATGTGAATATAACAAGCATACGTATAATGCAACAGATCCCATAGATACTGTACATGTATATGCCTTTGGTAAGTGGGAGGGTAGATAAAGAAGATGAGTGGGCAGTACACAGGATAGAAAGAGATTTTTTTTGTGGACAAATGATACATAGATGCCACAGGAAGATAGAGAGAAAAATGAACTGAGCGATGGAGCGATGAAGGAAAGGAAAGAAGGCCAGATAGTCAGGAGAGAGCTAATTTGCAGAGTGATGGTGTTACAGCCAGATGTGCAAAGTTCACAGGCACAGCGGTTGCCTGGATAAACTGCTGGAAAGCTACACTGAAGGGACTCAGTGACACATAACTGCAATGGCTGGACAGGATGGAGATGGCTGGTACCAGTAAACGGACTGACGGACAGAGAGGAGACAGACACACTTGGCAGGAGGCTGCATGCAGTGGACAAACAGACACGGGAAACGAATGGGAAGGGAGGATGGGTGAACGCAAACCTCAACAGACAGATGCATGCAGTGAACCAGACGAATGCGCAGGGCAGACAGGCGAGGCGAGGGATGCAAGAGCAGGAGTGGGACAGGCAGAGGAGGGCCAGTGGGATGCACAGGGACCGAGGCAAGCCACAGTGCAGCTGAAGGACCGCCGGAGGGAAGACGGGGACACGGAGGCTGTGGAGGGATGGAGGGACGCAGTGAGGGGCACAACCCGGGCAGAGTCCCGGGCACAGGGGCACACGCAGGGAGGGCGAGAAGGCACGGGCA